TTTAGAAGGATGCAGGATTGGATTTTACCTGTTGTGAAAAGAGGGCAGTACCTTAAAAGTTCCCACACACATGTTTCTCCATTTTTGAGGTTGGCTACAATGTTGGCATTCTTCAAGTCGCCAGGGATCTTTTAATTGTTCCAAATGTATAGAATAAAATTATGGTGTCTCACTACCAGTTCCTTACTGCCAGCTTTTTAGATTTTAGCATTTATATCATTCTTCCAATAGCTTTGTTGTTTCCTTGATAGCATGCTTGACTCCTTCTAGGATAGGGGGACTAGCAAGGGAGTCCTTTTCAGGTTGTTGGGGGGTGGATTCAATGATAGTAGACTCACAGTTCAGGAGTACCTCAAAGTGATTTTCCCATCTAATTAGCATAGATTCATTGTCTTTGAGGAGCAGAGTCATCTTGTAATCACAGGAAAGTACGACCATGGCAAATTGGGCTGTAAATGGCCTTCATGGGCTGGAAAAACCTATGTATATCATACTTGTCAGCATAGAGCTTGATCTCTTTGGCTTTATCTTGCCACCATTGGTTTTTGATTTCTTGGAACCTCCTCTGAGCTTTAGCTTTGAGGAGCTAATGCATCTCCTTCTTCTGCAGACATAAGATGTAATCTTATCAAGCTGAATTAATCCTTCTTGTCTGGTCAAAGTCAGCTTAGATTGGTGGCACACTCAGTCTTGGTGTTGACAGGTGGTAAATCCAATAGATTCAGCACAAGCAACATGGACAGGGGCTTTAACTCCCTACCAGAGTTCCTCAGTGTTGCCTTGATTTGTGGACAGGGCAGAGAGCTTTCCGTTGAGACCCTATTGGAGATCCTTACCAACTTTTGGGTCTTGAAGAGGTTTGGTGTTGAGAGTCCTTCATATTGCTTTTGGCTGTTTTTGGTGTTTTGGAGCAAGCTGGATGTTCACAGTGGATCTGACAAGATGGTCCTCTGCTTCTACATGTCCCTGATCAAAAATCCTGTTGCCTCATATGAAGGGTCCCCTTTTCATATTGCATAATATGTGTAACTACCTGGTTAACAGCACAATTAATTTAGGCCAGCTACATGTGCAAAGTAACTAGTATGCCTAAAAAAGGTCCAACCAGCTATAAAGTAGGAGCTGGAAAATGTGCAATAACTTTATACCTGGTTTCCATCCAGCATTAATTTGCATGTTGCCTTGTCCCCACAGCCGGGAGCCCCATCAGCTGACAGGTCTTCCAGATGTGGGGGTGCCCAGGACTCTCAGACATAGAACTGTCCCACGGGCTACTGCAGCTGGGAGTCCCTTCAACTTAAGAAACTACCAGCCACCATGGTGCCCACACAGGCTGCCATGCCTGGGATCCATCAGCTGATCAGAGCTCCCAGCTGGGGGAGCAGGGGGGGAGTGGCATGTGCACCCCTGTGGCTGGAAGCCCCA